GTGATTTTGGAGGTGGTGTAGCTATTCTGAACAATTACCAATATCTCAGTCGCTCTACATCAGTTATAAGCACAGGCACGATGAATTATTACACTGCAAATGAAGCATGCAAGAAACAGTGCAATGAGTAAGTATTAATTAATAAATCTTTTATATATTTTATACTTCATTATATTTTTCTATTTAATTTGTTAATTGTATTTTTTTTCTAGTTTTGATAAACCTCGTCATACGCCTCGTATCCTGGGGCGCAGATTTGCGTTGACTGCGACAGGTTATAAATATTTGGATGTTGGAATCAGCGTGTCTCATGTGCAAATCATTCTTGCTGATAATCGAGGAAGTCAATTAATATTGCCTCATGCGACATGGGCAGCGTTCATCGAAAGACGTGAAGCTGTGGAACGATTTTTACCATCGAACATCGCCTCATCGCTGTCGATTCGCGAGTTGGTGATTGAGCGTGTTAAGATGTACGATGAAAACATGGTAAAATTAACATTACACAGAAACTGCTTGTACATGAAACCTCAAACTTTATTATTTCTATTCGAAATCGAAACTTGTGTAGACCTTGTATATTTCGAATTATGCCAGAATACGCATAGTGTAGGTGAAAAATATAAGACCTTCGTAAATACTATAAAATCCAATTGTATTATTGATAGGCGTGATGCAATTAAAATCTTACATAAAGTTTCAGATAAAACTTCGCTTATTGATTGTGAATTATTAGCTTTTGCTATGGATAATATTTTATATGATGCGTTACCATAATGTACATGTTACGATAAATATATATTTGTTCATAAACATTTTTTATCCATTCTTTATTCCTATCCTCTTCGATCTCATAATAATTAAACCTCAATCGAAGATCAGTCTTTTCACCATTGTAACTAGGGAAGGATGAATAAAGAGAATCTTCGGTTTTAATCATTTTAAATGCTCTTAATTCCCTCATCATCTCCTGTCGACATCATGCGCGTATTATTTTCCATGGCACGAGTCATGAGGTCAAGCGCCGAAACCTGGCTGCTGACGGCGACTTCCTTATCAAGGTGCATGATGTCAGAGAGTTCCGCGTTTATACTTCAACGGTGAAGTCCGGCCGGGAAGACAGCA